CTTTCTCCAGGCTGGTTGTTCTTTAGGCTCAAGTAAGTTGTGATAAGGCTTTTAGAAACGTGCTTTGCAAGGAAATATAATCCACTCTCACCTTAAGCTGACACATTGACAAACTATGGTACTTTGAACATTACAGTGCCAGAGGATCATGCATTCGTCCTGTCATTATTAACAGCACATCAATGGTAAATTGGGCTCAGACTTGGAGTCGAGACTTGCTTTCCAGGAAAAGGCTGCAATACCACAAATAAGACAGAGACAGACCATCCGTGAAAACTTAAAGCAAGGATGGCAGGTGAGTTTGGTACTCCTAAGCACCTGTCAGCTCCAAACCATAGACCATAAAGGAAAAGGCAATTGCAAAATAAATAAATTGCACCCTCAGCTGAGGGACTGAAACATCAGTGTCTTAAGGATACTCCAGATTATTACTGGTGCAGAAGCAACAGAACATCTCATCTGTCCAAGAAGCATCACTTCCAGAGGCAGAGAGAAACCAGTGTATGGATTGATAATTAGTTTCCTAACCAAAAACTTTGCAATGCAGCTGATCCCTTTGGAGAGAAGACATACAGGAGATTGGAGTGCAGTACCAGCATTTTTATGTGCTCTTGCCTTTTTCATTTCCTATTCCTTCCACTATAGAGCCACAGTACAGGTTCAATATCTGAAAAGTCTGCTTGGTTATCTCCTGTTTTTGATGTTCTTTTACTGGCTAGCTGCATTTTCAGAGATGTCCATAACAAAGATGTATGGACTTGAAAATATTAACTAGGTATCTCCGTAATATGATGAGTGTATCTGCTACCAGAACGACAATTTCAATGGCAAGTTGGTAAATAAATCAGATTAATTACCTAGTTGAGGAGTTTTCTGCCCCATCAACAGATGCCATTACTGTTGCAAAGGAAGAATAACTATGTCCAGTCATTGATAATTTGTTCTAGCACAGATATGGAAATCATTATTACTCATTTCTTCCCCAGAAAAATCACCTCAGCAAAGCTTTGTTATGGCTTATTCATAAGTAGTTTAAACAATAGTATTATTACTGTTAAGAATTCTCAGGAATGCAAAACTGTCATCTGGGGAAAATGAAAATCCTCAGCAATTGTTCGCATGTTTCCAATACAGGTAAAATGACAAGAAAATGAAAATGTCAAGACTAAATTTCTTTTGATATTGTGATCAGTTTTAGGGAGAAATATGAACGCACTGGAATTGAGAGAGTAAAATCAGTTTCTTGTACTGCACCATCCAAAAAACATTAATTCTCCTGGCAGTCATCCTCAAGTTTCCTACAAGCTAAATATTTTGCACACAGAGTTAAACAGACTGAGGATACAAATGCATTTTGATTCTGCCTATGCAGCCTGGGAAAGGAATTTTCCACTTTGTACTGCTGAGAAAAACGGAGATGCTGTAGGCTACAGTGTCTCGTTCAGAGGAATGAGGTGGGTAGGATAGGGCATTAGGCACTATTATACTCTAGGGAAGAAAGAGCAGGGGCACAATGGAAGCACTTCATTATATTTTAAATGGGAACAGTTCCAAGGATAGGAAAGCCTGTGGTGCTTGTAAAGGATTAAGCAGGGTAATGTGCTTTTTAAGAAGACATAAAGAGGTATGTAATGTGATATGTTTAAGCCTAAATGATTTTCTTGGAGTCCTCAATGAATGTTTAAGCAGGCATGACTTAGGGCTTGGTAAATCCCCTCTGAATAAATAACTTCCCTGAAAATAGAGATTCCTTTGACGGAATGGGATGTATATTTCATAACCTATGCAAAAAAGGGAAATCAATTTGAGATACTCAAAATACTTAGGAATAATAAAGGAAAAAAAAAAAAAGACGACAAAAGTGACTGTTTTCTGGAACAATCCAAGCGTATACAGGAATACAGATAACTCTCCAACTGTTTTGATTTGACAAAGCGGGAGGACCAACAGCTGAATGCTTCCCTTGCTCTGATATAGATCTTAAACTGTTTTTTGTTGTCCTTTCAGAAAGGAAGAGACAATAACCTATAGAAATTAGAAAAGTGCCTGTACTGTTCAGGCTTTCTCCTGTTTCAGGTATTTAAAACTGCTGTCCTTTCAAGGTAAATCCAGCCAGCTGCTAACAGGACCTGATGTACATGCGTAAACTGCTGTTCACATGGGTGCTCAGTGATGTGTATGCATTTGATTTATGAGAAGAACAGAAGCAATATATATCAAACATCAGAAACTTAAAATAGCACAATTTTCCCATCCTTTTTCTTCTTCCCTGCCTTACCCTCACACCAGGATAAAGAAGTCAATGCTGCAGACATTCTGTTGCAAAATGGGATTATGTAATCACTGTCATTTGGCTACAACTTGCTCTCACTTGCACGGGCTTCTCCATGAAGTCTCTGGTCCAGCAAATGCACCATCCTGCTGAGCAAGGGATAATACGCCGAATACATCAGCATTTGATCTCCCTCCTCCCATTTAAAGATACATTCTACTGCTGCTTTCCTCCAAATATTTGAAGAACAGAAGTGAGACAAAACAGTGGGATTTTAAGATATAATAAAAATGCTTGGTTTAGCCTTTTCAATATCCTGATGCTTGACTGTCTAAACCTGTAATCTTGTGATGGGTACTTGCAAACTCTGTTCACCTCAGAGACAGGGCAGCAGGGCCCAGACATCCCACTGTTATGCGATGCTTTCACATTGGTTAACAAAGCACAAAGGGACACCCAGTGGTTCATTTTGTCCAGAACTATAATCTGGTTGTGTTAGTGGCCCTGGTGCAGCCTGTTAAATTCATTCAAGGCTCCGAAGAGCATTACGAAGCATACATATAGGCAGAGGGGACCCACCATTTCCTTCCTGTAAAATGTTGTCTTTCAAGCTATTCCACAGATCATAGTCCCTGCCTTTTATCAATTATCTTTTGTGAAGGATACCACCCGTAAGGCTGGTCAAGCACTGGAACAGGCCTCCTAGGGAGACGGTTGATGCCCCATGCCGGACAGCATTCGAGAGTCATTTGTATAATGCCTTCAGTAACACACTTTAACTGTTGGTTAGCCCTGAAGAGGATGGGTAGTTACACTTGGTAATCTTTGAAAGTCCCTTTAAACAGAACTGTTCCATTCCATTCTACTCTAATTTCCCATGCCTAAGAATAGCTTTTATCACCACATTCATCTTCCAGCTGAGGGAGAGCTATCTCAAATGATTCCTGAAAGGGACAGCTTCAGTGGTATTTCTTGTGTTTGCTTGTAAATGAATAGAACTTTCTTCCTGAGCAATCCAAATGTGATCTCCCAAAAGCTTTCATGTGAACAGCAGTTGACGGATAACCTTTATCTCTGTTCTTCCTGTAAGGGAAAAGGAGGAGAGAAACTGCACACGCATAGGTGGATATGTATATTCTTTGGAATCAAGCCCTTAGGTATTTTAAAATTGGAGTGTGTCTGGCTTGCTCACATACTGCAGCTTGGTAGTTTGACGTCACTTGCAAGTGCTTATTCCTGGGAAGCAGAAACATGGGAACCCAACAAAATCTAGGCAGTTTTGATGGTGCAGGTTTTAAGACAGCAACTGCCATCTTTCCAGGAATTAGAAATCAAAGATTATAATCCAGAATTACTTTCCAGTATGGCACATCTGTTGTTTTTCCAGGTAAAAGCAATTTGTCAACACACTGCTGACTGTATTGAGTGCTATGCTTAGTGTGCTCTGGTTTTTGATTCTCCTGAACCCCTCAGTATAATTTGGGAAGGAAACAGGAGGTTTTTATAATACAAAAGGCAAACCCTATCTTTATCAGTTCTTTGCTGAGTTAAAAAAAAAAAAAAAAGCAATTTTATCCAGCCAACAATTTTCACATTGTCATCTTTTTTTTTCTTGTTTTCTCAGCTTATGCCTTTTTCTAAAGGAGTTTCAAAAGCACAGCTCCCCATTCAGTTGTACCATTTTGTCCTTCACACCAGAAAATATGATACCAGTTATACATAGTGAACTACTGATTGTTAAAACTCCACAAACCACCTTTGTTCCTTTGTGGTTCCTTTACTACCAAGAGATAAACAGTGTTTTAATCATTCCTTTGAACATAGCCTTTTCTTTTGAGTGTTTGTGTTGGGTGTCAAAACACAGAAATTACACATTGCCCTGGCAAATGTATTCCAGCGGAAATGAAACACAGGGTTTGCTCCTGTTTTTAGAAGTCTTTAAACCAAATTTTAGATAAAGTACAACTTCATGAATATTTGCCCTGAATAATCATCACATTTTCAAATTTAAAATGAAATCTGCAAAACACAGTATTTGACAAGTTTGATTTTAAAACTTAAGGGGAAGACATAATGGTACAGATAAAGTTTATACTTTGTCACCCATTGACCAGTATTCACTTGCACTGACCTGCTTCATGGATACTACTTATAAATGCCGTAACTGTTAATCGAAAGCAAGGGAGGGAAACATTACATTCACCAATGTTCCTGTAAAAATTGACTCAAATTACGTTCCCTCAGTTAAAAGCATTCTAAAAGATCGTTGATCATTTTGTGCTACCTTCCTCTCTTGAAACATGTGTGATTCAGACTTAACAGAAAGACAAGGTTTTCAGTGTTGGGAGCCTACAGAAGTAAGTTAATCAGTGTCTTGTACCAAAAGCGCTTTGAACTTTGTACAGTACATTGCCATGCATCTTCTGGCATTAGCAGTCCAGTGATCCTATACTCATTTTGCATCCTGAAAAATGCTTTCATCTCTCATACCTATAAATCCTTTTCAGAGTGAACACTCTAGGTACTTACATTTTAAAACGTAGTTGAAAACAAGTCACCTCACTGAGAAATCCTCTATGCTGATACAATGGGCTTGCAAAAATTGGTACAGGACATAATCATTATCTGGGTGCCAATGCATCCCTGACAGTTAAAAGCAACAACTAAGCAAATCTGGTGTTTACAAGTGAGTCTCCAAAGGAAAGGAAAAAGCATGTCACAACAATACCTTTTGAATGCCTGCAGTTGACTCCAAGACGTTGTTCTCCGAACCGTTACTTCTGTTAATCATCCGCCACATTTGGGAATACATGCTGTCCCTCTCAAAAGGATTCATCCCTTTCACTCGAACATGTTCATAGACTGCAGAGTCCAAGACAGTGCCGTAAGGAATATCTGTCTGCCTTGAGAGATCCTGGAGAGACCTTAATTGTTGGTAAAGAAAAGAGACATAGGAGACTTAAAGCTGCATTTTCAATAGAAAGATACTGCAGGCAAGAAAAAGGCAGTGTATAAAAAGATGGCTATCAAGTTTCTTTCTTTCTTTCTTTTTTTTTAATTTAATTGATTTTTTTTTTTTTTTTAAGACGACCGGAGTCTGAAAATTTTTGTGGTTTAAAATACAAGGAGGAATATGAAATGAAAGAAAGGAGTGGAAAAAATGAAAATGAGTGAAAAGATAACAACAATAAAAGGGGCAAAGGGGAGAAAGAAGTGTTGCAGTCCCTCCAGCCACATGAAGCAGATTAACTGTGTTAAATTCTCTAAATGGCCACACTCACCAAAACCAGCTATCTGAGCTACCAGTTTATGTGGCAAAGAGGAGCTTTTTGGTGCAATTCCTGTGCTGAACAATGCACCCGCCACACAGCAGATTGCATCCTGTACAATTTTCAGCAATGAAATGATTTCTCCTATGGTATCATGAAATGCCTCTGTATTGTGGTTCACGTTACTCTGATAGATTTGCTCTACTTTACATATTATGTAGTTTTGTTCCCTACAAACAGAAAAATATTAACCAGTTTAGGAGTTTCTAAAGAACCTCAAATACAGCTTTGTCAACCCTGCTTTGCCCTTAAAATATATATATATATCTTTACAGTCTTTTAAGTCTTCTTACCTCCTGGCCTTTATTTTTCTGTCCTACAGAATTACTCTGCCATACCTTGGTTTCTTAAATGGCATTCATTAAAGTTTCAAAATACCTACTGCAATACATTTAGTGCCTAAAATCCATTATAGCTTTCCTGGTACAAATTAACTTTGTATAAACTGCACAAATCTAATGGATGACACTTAAGGACAAGTCAAGGATCTTAAAGCAGGTTATAGCAAATTGTAAAAGCTCTTTGCAGCTGCAGAAAATGTAAAGTCAATGGTAGGAAATTCATTAAAATCCAAGATGCATTTTTGAAACAAGTACATTTAGAGGCTAGAAAAAGGATATTGCATAGGAGAAAAAATAGGAATTCTTAAATTCCTATTTCGTGTCCCAGAAAGGACACCAAAGACAGCACATCTTGAAGGATATGTACATTACTGAGCACAACAGAAAGGAAGAAAAGAAGGAAGAAATCAATAGAGCCCAGTGGCAAGGTTTTAGAGGTTCACTGAGTCAAAGAGAAATCCTTCGAAATTCAGATATATAGGCAAAGAAAAACACTGAACAAGAGCTAAATTCTAAGTAGATAACATATAGCAAATATTAGAGAGGGATAAATTAAAAAATTAAAAATGTATTTAAAAATCCAAAATCCTCTCCTCTATCTCCAACAAGAGGGCATTCCTCTTCAAGAATACAAGCAACAGGAAAACCATAAAGAATCAGTACACATACAGGATTATCAAGTGGGATCAAAGGAGCCATGAGATGAGGCTTTTACTGAACCTGAATATATTGGTCTCTTACTACATAATTGAGATTTGCCCTTTTCTGGGAAGAAAAACAGAAAAATGGAAGACTACAGTAGACTAAGGTGTCAGGAGACTCCTAAATTATTTGCTAGCAGACAAATTTACCCATAAAGAAAATGCTAGACGAATAGATAAAAACAAAACAAAAAAAATCCTCAAACTTGTGTATCAGTCCAGTGTCTTGGTCAATATAATTCCCCAAATTCCTAACACTCTGTGAGTGTGCTCCACTATGTACCTTGTAGAACATGGAAGTCAAGGAGAGACTGATGGCAATGAATTTTGTTATTTGGTAAACTTCAGAACGTTGATGGAAGATTACATTCTCAAATATTCTAGATTCCTAAGTTCTCAACATTGCTCTTAGTTGAATGGACAAATACAGAGGAGGATGAGCTGAATTCGGTGCTTAAACTATGCCTATGCATGCTCTTCGGCCAACCACTTGGACCCTCGGATTCAAGAAGAGCATTTCATTCAGCAGGGTAAAAGCAGTTACTGATGCAGACCGCAGTGCAACCCGATTAACAGTGGGATTTCTGTGTGCACACATGTATAAACACGGTTTAATGTGAAAAGGGAAAAATGAAAAGAGAAAAACACAAATTTACTTAAGGCTTAAAGTGTCCTTGTTAAAATTCTTCTACTTTTAAACGTATTAGTGGCTAATTTGTAATTGAAAAGTAAAAAATAAAATCAAGTCTAGACAGAAATATGTATGAGTTCTGAAAGATTAATTATGAATGTTAGAGAAAATATGAAACCCCATTACGCGAAAGGAAAGCAATAAAGATTTTTAAAAGACTCTGGTCATGATCAAAGGGATTACAAAAGTAAGCAAATGAGTAAGATGTTAAATTTAGCTCTAATAAATACACTGAAATAATGCTTGATAAAATTTAAAGATAGTTATTAAGTAGGTTTCTTCAGGGAAAAGAACATTCATCTTAAAAATTACTAGAAAAAAAAAAAACAAAAGATTTTAAAAGGTCTTCATCAGACAATATAAAGAAGGGGGAATGAACAGGTAAGAAAGAAGGAATTTAGGTAGGGATTGCTTGGGAGCACTTGACAGAAGTCCATGGGACCTGAACGGCTTCATGAAGTGCACTGAGAGAGCAGACCTTATTTCTTGCAAGACTGCTCACTATCACCTTCAAAATGCAATTGAGACTAGGGAGATTCATCCCCCTCATCTTGGAAAAAGGACATAACCAGACCGTCCTCAAAAAATGATCAAAAGTGTGATTTAGGGAACTAACGCTGCTCAGCCTTGATTCAATTTCCAACCAATAACATGGAGTGAGCTCTCGAAGCACATTTCTGAGCATATGCAGGAGAAAAAGCTGACAGAACAGGCAGCACAAATTTACTAAGGCTTACTCAGGCTTGACCAACTGGATTGCCCTCTCCTTTAATAAAGTGACTGAGTTTGTGGACAAGAGCAGAACAATGGCTGCAATTTACCTTAAGTTTAGCCAGCATTCAGTACTGTCTCCCAAGATATCCTTATATCTGAATTATGTTATTAGGCCTGCCAATGTGGAAAACCAAGTGGCTGAAGGTACAAAGCTAGGAGGAGTGGCTGACACACCAAAAGGCTGTGCTCCCATTCAGTGAGACCCAGAGGTTGGGTGGAGAGGAACCTTAGGAGGTTCCACAAGGGCAAATGTAGAGTCTCACACCTAGGGAGGAATAATTGCATGCATCAGTACAGGTTAGGGGCTGATGTGCTGGAAAGGAGCTCTGCAGAGAAGGACCTAGTTGTCTAGGTGACAAACTGGCTGGCCATGAGCCAGCAGTGTGCTCCTGTGGCCAAGAAGGACAATCAGTGCTATTCTGGGATTCACTAAAAGAATCGTGGCCAGCAGCAGGATGAGGGAGGTTATCCTCCCCCTCTACTGTACCCTGGTAAGGCTGTATCTGGAATACCATGTAAAGTACGAGGCTCCTCAGTTCAAGAAATACAAGCAGTTTCTAAGAGAGATGCCAGTGCCGGGGTGACAGAGATGATGAGAGGCCTGGAGAATCTCCCTTATGAGGAATGGCTATAAGATCTGAGACTGTCCAGCCTGGAGAATAAATATCTAAAGGGTGGGTGTCATATGGATGGGGCCGGACTCTTTTCAGTGGTATCTTTCAGTGACAGGACAAGGGGACACAGTACATTCCGTATGAACACGAGGAAAAACTTATTTTGAGGGTGACAGAGCACTGAATTAGGCTGCTCAGAGAGGCTGTGGAGTCTCTGGAGATACTCAGGACCCATCTGGATGCTTTCCTGCACAACCCACTTTAGTAGGAAACCTGCATTAGCAGGGGGATTGGGGCCATTCAAGGCCTTACAAGTCAGTGATTCTGTGAGTTCCTGATTGGATGATCATGCTCAAAAAGTAGTGGTTAGCGGGTGGTATCACACCTGGAATCCAGTGACAAGTATCACAAGTATAAGGGAATACATATCTATCAATATCCTGGAAGAGATGAGGAAGCACCCCGTTATCAGGTTGTAGGCAACATGACATAGGCACCTCAAGGACAAAGCCTCCATTCAGATGAACCTAGAAAAACTGGAGGAAGAGGCAAACAGGAACACTGTGAAATTCAGCAAGAAATGCAAAGCCCTGAACTGTGCTAGGAATAATGTTCTGCAACAACCCACTCTGGGACCTGGCTGTCTGGGCAACAGCTCTGCAAAAAGGCATTCCAGTAGACAGAAGCATGCCTTGCTGAGAAATACTTAGTTTCACCATTACACAAAGCATTGTGTAAAAAGAAGGTGCATCACAGCTACATTTATAGGCTACATATCTGTCAAAAGCGTCACTGACAAAAAGCTCTAGACTAATGCAAGATGCTATATTCACTTATTCTAAGTCAGTGCTGCTACTGCCAATATGCTTCTGTATCTCCTGGCAGTGCTCAACAATCTGTCATGGGATACATATTGTAATGTCCTGTAATTGTTGTGTTATTTGTCATACATATTACTAGAAAAGTACACAGAAAGTATTTATCAAGTCCCCAGTTTCTAACACCACCATCTAGCAAAACTGCAATCGTTACTGGACTCTGTATAGCCATATAATTTCTAGTGTAACAAGCAACAAAACGTTTTTCTGAAATATAATTGCTAACTGGTATCTAAATGATACATATAACTGCTACCACAAACAGCACAAAAGGAAAAACAACTCCTCTCTATATCTTGCAGCTGTAAAAGCAACCTTACTATTTTCAGGTGGGAAAAAATGCTAGACATAAGCAGCTGGTCCAGAAGGGTACTACAGAAAGGTATGGAGGAGTTCTCATTTTATCAGGAAGAAAGAAGTGAGAGTGCCATCACACCCAAATGAATCACCAGCAGAGAAATGACAAGGATGATTATGTTGATGCCTTCAGGAAGGTGCATCATACCTGTCTATTCTGGCATTAACTACAGTCTGCAGCTCTTCACTATTTGATGTTCCATACTAAAACAAAGGATGCCTCTCAACTTCCCTGTCCC